TAAAGCTGCTCCTCTAAAATGTAGAACAAAATGTACTAGAAAGATTTCATTCAAAGCTAAAAATTAAAATAATTTTTTGAATTTACAAAAACTAAATTTTTTAACGATAAATTCCATTTTATGATGTAATATTTGAAAAAAATCAGTAGAAATTTGGCTCAAGAAAAAAGAGAAGATATTTAAATGCTCAAAGATTCACCGATCCAACGCACGCCTGCGAAAAACACCACAAAATGTGCAATTATTTTTGGTACCAATTTTTTTCACAACATCATCCATCGTCCAGCCATAGAGATCTTTGTAATTCAATATCCTTAGCGGCATGTCATAATCAATTTTATTGCTTTCGACAACTTCCAGTGAGTCATCCCTATAACCCTGAAAAGTCGGGAATTGAAATACAATAAACAAAGATAAAATTTCAGAAAAAAGAAAAAAATGCTAAACTAAGATCATCTGGATCAAAAGTGATTTTACCTAACTATCATAACAATATAAAGTAGCACTTTTTAAAAAATTTCGATAATTCCGAATATGTTTTTTCCTTATTTCGGCAAAAATTAGTTTTAAATTCAACTAGTTAGCCTATAAATTTTGTTACCAACTATCTAATTTAGCACTAATTATGCTAGACCAATTTCTCTTATCAGTGGAAAGAAGGACGATATCGGATAAAAAAAAAAAGGGATTTTACCTCAATTCCTTCATCGATGGAGACGAGCACGATATCCAATCCATAACCATGCTTCTTATTCAATTTATTTAACACACAAGCCAGGACTGTAGAATCTTTGCCACCTGATGCTCCAATAGCAATTTTTTTACCACTTCGAAATAAATTTTCTCTAACAATAACGTCGTGTACCTCCTGAAAATTTCTTTTTTTTTCTAGAAGAAGAATGGCCTGAGTTAATAAGCAATCTATACTAGCGGAGAACAGAATTTGGCTTCCCCAGTAAAACATCCCATTTTTGTATGATTCTTTAATTCGTTTCGATGGCAAATTGGTACTAGTGTATGCTACGCAGTCAATACGTATATAAACATGTATAAATATATAGTATTAGAAAAAAATGCATTAAAAAATAATCAGATGAAAAGCATTCCCCGAGTCTCCCAAATCGTACACATTCCTATTCAGCACCACAACTGGACCTCGTCAGTACGACGGTGTGGCCGGACCGTGAAATACAGCTGCAAGAAGCAAGCAAAAATGTAAATTACGACGTACCGATTCGAAAGCCTCAGTGAAACAGGTG